TATGTATGTAGATTATCAAAATGTTTACTTGACTGTTATTTTCATCAGGTTATCTTTCTATGAGATAAAAAGTTTGTGACTGGACAACATGCTCTCCATACAACTCCCTGTGGTGCCCTTCCTCCCCACAAAATTTATAACACATTCCCAACCATTCAGACAAACCTAAAACATTTACTACTTCAGTCAATGAATGCATTAATGCTGATGGAGAAAAGAAGCGAAGCATCAACCTTCTTACTATTTTGTAATCACACAAGTTTTATGCCCAAATACACTTTTGAATTGCAAACGTTTATAACTGTGAGCTTTTCAAAGTTACTGATTAGAATACACAATTTAAAAACATTAATAGCAATAGCACTTAGACTTATGTACAGCTTCACAGTGCTTTACAGCCCTCTCTAAGTGGTTTACAGAGTCAGCCTTTTGCCCCCAACAATCTGGGTCTTCATTTTACCGACCTCAGAAGGGTGGAAGGCTGAGTCAACTTGATATTTCTAGCAGACACATTTATCTGCTTTATCTAAAATGGGTTCATAAACATTGTATAAAAGTGCATCATTTTTTAATGTAAGATTCCTATGTAAGATTCTAACAGTGATCACAAACAGTTTTATAAAATCAAATACTGTATCACAGAAATGCCAGTTTTTATGAAATGAATTAATTACTTACCTCATTAAGGATTTTATTGACTTTCCTTGTTTGTACAAATGGAACAGCTTTGGGCCCAAAATTGTAACCAGTGCCCTTGACATGTTCATAAATTTCTTTATATTTTATCTGAAAAGCAAATATATACATAGACTTCAGATTTAGGTGCTTTAATAAATAAAAACAGTTACAGTATAATAAAAAACCAATATAATGAAACCAATATTACATGCAAACATATAGTTAAAAGACCACATATTGTAGTTAGGCAGCCATCTATCTCAATATCTCCCTTAATCCATTTGAATATTTTAATGAAAGCTTTTATTATTTTTGTTTGTTTTTTTGTTCTTTAACAATTATCTGACTCAACTGAAAGAAGTTGTCAATAAAAGAAAATTCCTTGGAATTATGTTGTGGAAATATATGTAGATATAAAGTAGAAAGAAAATTATATGACAGATTTTTGAAATAATTGTAATTTTTTTCCATGTCTTTTGCAGTAAAATAAAGCTTTTCATCTTACCCTAAATATAAAATCATACAAATTTTATAGTGATGTAGTAGCTTAGCTATAGAGGGGCCCTCACATGAGCAGAAAATCTTTTCCATAAATGAGAGAATTTTCCTAATATAACACAAATTTTCTATATCTAACAAAAGACTAGTCAACATTAGGATATCTGTTGCATATTGTTTTGCATGCTATTTCATTTCTAAAAATTATTTCTATATACTTAAGGATGAATAAGCATAAAGATGGCATTATGGAATTATTTTGGGTGCTACTGGTATGTGTCTTGTTTAATATTACTCCTACAGTGTTTCTCTCTTTTTGTCTCTGTCTGGAAATAAAAATTAATTAAACAGTTACTTACATCACTGCCAATATAGTAGGCATGTTTAGCATGCTTGAAACCAGGGGTATCTGGTGGAAGTTTGTATCCAGTGGGAAGGGCATGCAAGCCAGCATTCCGGTAGAGAGGCTGCCAAAAACAAATGAATGAATGAATAAAAATTGAGATTTATAATAATGTAGTAAAGCCCTTTAAGGCAATTGTTGGGAAACTTTGGGTATGCTCTAGTACTGTACAAGCAGAAGTCATACCAGGCTACGCCCAGACTTTTTTTTTAGTACTTCTTCACACTTTGAGTTTGGCAAATTGGAAAAATACATCAAGAAATACAATCCTAACCACTTTTAACTGGAGTACTCAATGGTAATAAAACTTCAATGAGGGAATTGGTGATCTCCTCTTGATAGGATATGTTCAAGCAGAGGCAAGACAATCTGATAGAGATACAGTTGAATTTAGATTTTCCACTAAGAAAGGATTGGATTAGATGGCCCAATTAACCCCCTTTCAGCTCTATGATTCCACAGTCCACTAAGTAAGTTAGGGTCAGAAAAGGTAAGTGTGCTGAATTCTGGGCCCTACTGGCCTTGGCTGGTCTTCAGAAATCAAGGGACTAGGGATAGATCTGGTTAGTATTAGGTTGGAAGACCTCCCAGAAAATTCCAGGTCTGCATATTAGAATAAGAAAAGCATTCTGGGAGAAGGAAGTAGCAAACCCCTTCTGTTTTATTGCCAAGGAAACATAACACTTCCACGAATTATCACCAGGAGTTGAGAGAATGCACTATTAGCAATCTCACTTCCAAAAAAGGTAGCCAACATCACATTGCTAATGACGAGACATATCAGCACACTTTAAAGTTCTTCAAAGTTTTATACCAAAGCTTTTGAAGGGAAGAGAAGACCCCCAAATATTCTAAACAGCTGGGTAAATGTATCGCTCACTATAACGCTGCCAGTCTTGAACATCTATCTCCTCCTTGTTCTTTTATATTTGATATTGTATTATTGTGTGTTATTATTGCTGCTTTTCTTCTGCAGCTTCATGGCCCCAAATCAAACCCCTTCCCCTCCCTCTTTTAATGTCATCCAGAGGCAAAATCCAAGTACTTACTTCACTCTGTATCTTGTAAGCCTGATTTGCCCGCTCCAGATCCACTGTCTTATCTGTTGGCGTATATTTCCCTTTGATATGATGCACATAGTTATGGCGGTAAACAGCCTGAGTATTGACAAAACAAAATAAGCTATGTTGAATATTAGCAAAAGGTTTCTC